ACAGGTTAGCTCCAAAGACTAGTACATGTCTTGACCTCCTAGCTATCCACTGGGGTTAACCTGAGTCAGGTATGCAGATACCCGCCTCTGGTAGTCACACATGTGAAGATGGGTTAAACAAGTGTTGAAAGATCCAGATCACGGTCAAATAGGGAAATACCAGAAAAAGAAAATGATCTCCATGCACTAGAGGAGAAGAGTTGAGGAGAGGAAGCTGAGATAATGAGACTGTTCCTAAGAGGTGAGAAAAAACCTGCCCAAGATCATACAGCTCGTCATGGCTGAAGTGGGTGTCATACACAGATTCAAGGAACGCTTGAATATCTCTGGGTCCTTCCTGCTCTTCCTTTGCATAGGCGCTTCTAGAACGGAACATCTGGAACCTATGTCTTTGGGGAAGCTCAAAAGCCCCAGGAGAGGGTGCAATTGAAGGGGACAGAATCGTGAGAGGAAGGCTGGAGGCTCTGGGATTGCAAGACGAGTCACACTGGGAACCTTGGGGGGGGAGCTGGCCAGCTCTATGGGGAAGAAAAAGAGCAAAATCATGTTGAAGACACCCATCTTGGGCATAAAGAGGGTTACACAGTAGGAATGCTACCTCCTTTAGGAATCTTGCAACCAAAATAACATTTGATGGGGGACAGCAACAGGAAAATGAGAAGACCGCCATCTAGGCAACAAACAGTGGAAAAGGAGAAATAAAGGAATGACAAAAACTATTTACTATAACAATGAACTCAGTCTTTCATGCACTCTACATACAAAGACTAATTTGAGCATCACAATAAAGCTATCGGGCTTGTTATTACTAATCAATTACTATTACTTATATAACTGACATTATATAATTGTTCTAATTAGTATTAATAATATTATATTACAAGTGACCACACTGAGGCAGAGAGAGGTCAAGTAGCTTACTCAACGTCACACACCCATTAAGTATAAACCTGGCTAATCTAGCTTCGAGGATTCATACTTTAACCATTTCATTTAGCAGCAACTCCAGAGCACATTGCAAAGCAAAACAATCTAAATTAGTCTACTTTGTCATAGTGCAATAATGCTTAGCTCTGACCTTTTCCAAGTCGCCGACAATCTGCAGAGAATTTGGCCTACGTGGTTCTGGATTTGCTGAGTGTACTGCTGCTGATCTGCAGTAAGACTTTAGGTCAGTTCCTGGATAAGTTTCATTCATCCCACCTGTAAAGAGGAGACAATAAAATTGAGAGGTCAGAGGAGATAACCTACGTCTCAGCCTGGGCCAAGCCCAAAGTAAGCCCCTACTGAAGGCTGATATCACAGACGCCCTTTGTCGCCACCCTGAGAAGTAGGTAGCGTCTTTGCTCTCATTTCTCAGATGTGGAAACTGACATTCAGAGAAGAGAAATAACTAGCCAGAAAAACAAAACAAAACAAAAAAAAAAACAGCAAGAGAGTAGAAATGCCAGACCTGGGCAGTGCTCCCTTCAACCTTCAAGCCTCCTGCCCAGCTCCCAACCCTCAAGGCCATTCCTCAGTGCCCCAGGAGACACTGCTCTGGCTACCAGATGATTCTCCCAGCTGTTGGAAGTTGAGGCCCAGGGAAAACGCTAAGAATTCAGATAAAGAAGTTTTCAAGGTGGAAACAGGCTCCCATGTAAGGCACACCTTCTCTTACCCCCCAGTAACTGTCAGAGGAGCAGAAGGGATGAGGGGGGCACTGTAATGACCATGACCACGCTCATAACAGCACAGCAGCTTGGCCACGGGGGGGGGGGTGCAGGAAGAGGGGAAGAAGCCTCAGACACAGAAGGAAAAGAGGGTAGAAGGGATGTCTTCTAATAAGTAAATAGAGAAGTCTTTAAACACCGTCTAAAATAATATATTACTACTTGAAAATGGCTTTCCACTCTGGGTTTGTTGTATATTTGGTTGGTTGGTTGGTTTTATTCCTTTAATTCTGTGATTTTGCATTTCATTGAAGAGGGTCATTTCTATTTTGCACCCCATTCTGGTCCAAGGTGCATCCAGTCGTAAAGGGTGATGAAAAAGTCAGTCCATCCTGAGGCTTAAGAGCCTGGAGGACTTCTTGAAGAGTCAGTTTGTCAGAAGCAGTAGTGTTGCCATAGACAATGGGGTCTCGGGTGCCTGGGTTTGAGGACAACCCTCCTGTATTGACAAAAACCCATGTGCCGCAGCCTCCTACATTATGCAGGAGCTTCACTGATAGTATTTCTCTTTTCAAATGAAAATTATTACCTCTTATGATTTAGTAGTAAGAATATTTGTACCTGCTACTTGCAGAGTTTCATTAGTACCCATATTATTCTCAGAATTTAACTTAAACATGTATACACGTCCTCCCAATTACATGCTATTCTACTTATGCCCACAAGGTGGCGATCTTGTTTACAGTTTACTCAAACTGAAAACGGCTTTTTAAAATCCTCAGAAATTAAACCACAAAAATTAAATTCAATTCATTGAGCACCTATTTAGTATAGCATCTATGTCAGGAATAAAGAAGAAGTTGGTAATTCGTAGTCCCTGATTTCCAGGGAAGGAGAGAGTTAAGGCAATTGCACCGATAACTTTTACTGAGTAAATTTTGGGCTCCCCCAGAGTTATCTCATCATCAGATACGATCTTTTTAAAGCAAGATACAGTCACGGTGTGGCACAGCAGATTCAGCAAGGACCCCGCACTTCTGTCCATATGGAAGCACTTGAGGGGGTATTGGATCTGTGCTGAGAGGACCCTGATGTGGTCACTTGTGATGCCTCAGCTCAGCCACAAATATTAGGGAGTCTCCCCAAAACTCCCCAACATCCATTCTTTGCAGAATAAAACATAATCAATGCCAGCTGATGAGCTAGTCGGTGGAGGGACAAAAAAAGAGAGAAAAGAAATACAGTGCAAGGAAACATTTTATACTCCTGCATTGGGAAGTGTATTTCACTTCCTTCCCAAATACGTGTCTTAGCTGCAAATCTTGACTTGGATTTGGGACACACTTCGGTGCAGAGTGGAAATGGAAAGAGCCAATTCTTATCCAAAGGTGCTTTGTTGTTTCGTTTGGGGTTGGGTTTTGCTCCTGCATCCTCTGTCTCTGCAGTTTATTTCCCCCAGAAAACCAAATACAACGTGGAGTCTTTCTTCTTCATTTTTGAGTTGAAAATCACATTTGGGGAATAAAATGATTGGCTAAACGTGAATGCAAACATGAGGCTGCTACTAACTTGATTTAAAAAAAAAAAAGTGAACTTTTTGATGGAGGGAAAGGGGCATGTTGCCAGGAGACACAAGTGTGGATTTTGGTTTCTCCACTTGCTGGCTGTGGGCACGTCCCTCTCCACGCCTCCATTCCCTCCAGGGCAAACGTGCATCATTTCTTTAGACAAATTGTCTCCGAACTCCTCTTCCCACAAGAGGCGGGACCAGAGTCAGGACGCGGGGGTAGCAACCTGAAACGTAAGCTCCTTGGTTAGAGGAGCCGGAATCTGAGGAGTTCACTGCTGCGTGACCAGAACTGAGGGCAGACGCTTTGTTGAAAGGGTGAACGAATGTATGGGAGCCGGTCTAGGTGTTCTCATTGCACAGCGAGATTGAATTCCCTGTAAATCCCAAGGGAAAGGCGGAGCCACCAACCTCAAAGTGCACCAGCCCGCAGGGGGCAGAGCTGGTGAGCGCGCCAAGGAAAGGGGGTGTCGGTTCAAAGTAGTTTGCTACGGATGGTTCCTCTCGGGGCTGGAGTCAAGTCCTCTGCGGCTCGGTGAAATTCCCGGGGATTTGCATAAGGCTGGGTGAATCACACCGTCGGAAGGGGGGTTGGGAAGTGGGGGACGGAGGGGAGGCGAGGCAAAGGGGCCCGCCCTAAGCCTTGCCGGGCGGATCCCGAGCGCGTGAGGGGTTAGTCTGAAGTTTGCGGGAGACCAGGCGCTGCTTGGGCAGAGCCACTAGCTACCACCCCAATCCCGGCGAGGGCGGCGGGCGCGTCCCTTGCAGCTCGCTGGACTCCGGGTCCGCGTCGCCTCCTCCGACGCCCCCGCGCGGGCGTCACCAGCAGGGCTAGCGCCGAGCCCCCAAACCCCAGACCGAGTGCGAGGCCGCCTCTCCCTCTTGGAAGGCGCCATCGCCGCTTTAAGGGAAAGAGGAGGGGTAGGGGGCGGGAGGTGGGGGGCGGGG